GAAGCCGATCGAATGCAAATGTCGCGGGGAGGCTTGCTCGGAATTATATCATTACACACACGCTGGTCCCGGTGTGGTGGCGTGGTTCGTGTCGTTTCTTTTTCTGTTTTCAAATAAGGAAATAAATTAAGACGTAATGGGCTTAATAAGGCTCCGGTTGGATAGCATTCCGTGACCTTGGCCGGTAACTAATGGCGACGTTTGCGCGTTTTATGTCGCGCTGGGGGGACAGCAGCAGGGTCAAAGGGTTTACCGTGTATAAACTTCCAAAACTCCAACCGGCTCTCCATCTTCGTCCGTGAACATGCATCGAATAATAACAACTTTTCGTTACGTGTTTTCATTTTGTTTTTCATTTTCTGAACTTTTCCGTCGAATCGGGATCAACGGAAACGGTCGAAAATGAAAACACGTGGGGGCAAATTAACTGAAGTATCGAAGAAGAGGGCCGAAGAATGGAGTAGAAGTAATACCAGCCACGGCCAAATACTGACGTGGATCGGCTACAGAAAGCTGATCTTGGTATACCTGGGATACAGGAGGCCGTGCAGCGGTGTAAATGCAATCAAGAAGGCCTCAATTAGACCGTCACGCCGTACATCCCTCATCTCGGAGTCTCGCCGCTCCTCCCTTCTCTTCACCCATCGTCGATTTCGTCGTCGTCCACGTCGTCGTTGTCTTCTTCTTCTTCTTCTTCTTCTTCTTCTTCTTCTGCTGCTTCTTCTTCTTCACCTCCTCCTCCTTCGTTCTCCTCTTCAACTAACTCGCCTCCTCCTTCGTCTCCTTTACCTTCCATTTCGTCGTATTCTTTCTGCCCTCGCACCGATTGTTTCGCATCTGCCGAACACGAGGGCAACCCAAGCAACGCAGCTCGAAGACGCGCAATTGTCGATCACAAAAAATGTCCGGGAAAAAGATCGTCGATCGACGTTGAGAAATGACAAAGAAAAAGGCCGAGAGAAGAATGAAAAACATGATATTGGTTCATTGAAAATATCGATTGTAGATCGATCGAGTATCGGACCCTTAGTTTTTATCGCGATACTGTGAATCGTAATGATGCACCGGTCACGTAACGTTTCACACATTACAGCTAATCCAATTACGAAATTAGAGACATAATTGGAAGTGAAACGATTACGGTCGATTAGTCGGCGAAGTTCGAGCAAATGTCGGGGCGAAGAGCATGATTCTGTCCGTAAACCGTTCGGTTTCCCTATCGTTAGACCCTATTAAACGAAGCATAAGAGAGCACAAGGGAGGTCTGCTCGAGGTTTAAGCGAGCTTGCAGAGGCCGAGATTAAGGGGCTGTTTAATCTGCATCCATCGCGATGATAGGTAACGTTGGGAGAATCATCGTGGGGGCCTTCACGTTAACCGAGTTAGTTACAGGAAACCCTGCAATTAGGGATTGTTAACTGGATAAAACCTTACGCGTGCTCCGCGTGATGGGACGCGCGTGAAAAAACGAGAAGCATTTAAAAAGATGGGGAGCATCGCGGCTCCTGACGCGCTCAAAGAATGTTTCATACTACTAATTTCATCGAGCGAAAACATTCGCCGAAAACCGTGAACATTCGATTATTTTTCATTTTATCGTACCATTACTCCTTGTTTCCTACAGAACGCGATACGTTCGCTGAAATTTTTCTCTCGTGCCAGAAGACCGAAAAAGTGCGCACGGTCGCGTGCAGACTTTTTTTCACCCGGCATCGCACCACAAGATATGAAATAATTTCATGTTTCTTCGACATCGTCGATCGGTTTGCGTCGAAAAAAATGATTATTTTGGACGTTATATTACCGTCGCAACGTTTAAAATTTTGTTTTTCACAGCCGAGGGTAGCCGGTTCGGCAGCCACTTCGCTACCAATCGGTAAATTCGTTTCGACGTAGACAGTTATTAGGTGGCTAGAGTCGGTGTAAAACGTCGCTATAATGATCGGTTGCTAACTAACTGGCTCTTTCTCCTCTCCCTACCGGTATATACATATAAACATTCACGTGTATGCATACGTAGGATCTCGGGGCGCTTAACTGGCTCACCCGCGGGCACCGTCGATACTGTTTACACCGTAGTAATTTGCTAATGGCCAGGCCAACACGATGAATTCGGGATCGAGTTGCTGCGTGGTCTGCATCCCGATAGGCGCCGCGATCCAGGGACCACGCGGACCCGACCGATCGAGGATCGATTGCTACCCGAGACACGCCCCTGCTCGTTCTCGTCTTTCCCCTTATCGTTCGCCCCGCGCGTTATCGATCGAACCGGCCCGTTGGAAGAATTTTTACCGATTTTCGCCAAATTCTCAATGATCACTGAGTGGTCATATTGTCTTCGAACGAGCATATTTTTAAACGTTTCGCGTTGGCGCGATCTCGGGGTGAAAGATCGTTCGGGAAAAAATAAGCAACTGCTTCGTGCGATGCCGTGGCAGGTACCTATGTAATATTTTCAAGAAAATTAGATTGCAACATCGCGAGCTGGTATTATGTCGCGGAGGGGGTCATTAAAGCGCGTATATTACGCGTTCACCTCGAATATCGTGTTCGTTGAGTTTAGTTCGACGTTCGAGGATATTGCTCGACCCTTCAAGTTTCGATCGGTTGAAAGGCGCTCGGCGCGCGTCCGTGCCATGCACTTAAGAACGCGTCAGTTTTGATCGGCGGATCATTTGGTCGGTATCCGTTCGATTTATCAGCCCGAGGATCGTTAGCACTACCGAGGGTAGCGTGCAGGTATTCACGACGCCGCGCTAATTAGCTGACGCGCATTAATGGCTCCGGGACTCCATTAAATTGTAAAATATTTAAATAACTCGTCGACGGGCGTGCCCGGGCGCGAATTACTTGTCATAAGTCAGTCTGTGCAAGTAGTTGGAAGCTTGCCACGGAAACTCCAGTGGGCAGAGTTATAATGTATGTGCCAGGTAATGGCGCGTTTTCGTACAGGAAGCTGACGAGCCTGTAAATTAACAATTTCTGCCCGCTTAGATAATCGTTTTTTTCTACCGTTGAGTTAATCGATATAGAGCAAGGTTTCGTGAAATAAAAGAACGCTGTTTGTTTTTCTGTTTTTGCTTTTCCCTCTTTTTCTCATTTTCTTTACTACGTTTTTCTGACCTCGTCGTAATTGTTTACTCGTCGCTAAAAGAAAAGGGAAGGTGAAAGGATTAATTAAGATCAAGGAGAATGGACACCAATGTTCGTTTTAATCGAGAAAAATGAAACGACATATCGGTTCGACGACGTTGGATTTTCTCTATGATTGCTGTTCGAGATCCCTGATTGGAATGGTAATTACCGTGATTAAAATTTCGATCGCTATTACTGTCGACGGTTGCTAACGTTTCGGAGATCGTAACGTTCGTGTCCATAATCGTGTCGTTAGCGCGAATCGACAATAGATAAGCACGCTTTCCAATGCAATTTTGTCTAGTTTCGATAGCGTGGGATCTTTCGAAGCATAAATGTCGAGAACCGAAAATCCTATGGGCGAGACAGCCGACTATGGCTACACGAACACGTTGTCATCATTCGCGTATCTCTTTACGGGCAAGCGATCGCAAGGTTCCTTCGCAAAGTTACGCATACGTCGTGAATTATTTACATGGCAACTTACAAGTATACGCTAGGAATGTTTATACAATCGTAAAACTTATCGCAATTACCGTTTAATGTTTTTTTTTTTCTTGAAATTAAAGAAACGCGTGTGGTATAAATAGTAGTTTTTTTTTACTTATCTAAAAAAATCTGTATGACGGCTCGATGTAAAAGTATATAACAGAAATTATCGTACGTTCTCGGTCGCGACGTAGAATTTTTCGTTTTAAAATATAGATACATACATAAATGCTCGACTCTTCCACGTTCCATATTCGCCGATCTATATCTCGGTTTAGAATGTTTCCGCGTCCCCGAAGTCACGAATAAAATCTCGCGGGAATTAAAAGCGTGCGCCAGCGTAGGCTTTCTCGTCGCGACTGTCGAGAATATTTTTACTTTTCTTCTGGACGGACATCTTTCGATGATGTTTATTTAAAACTCGCTTCGGAGTTGTAAATACGACGTGTTTCCGATTCGTAGTGTCACCGGGTGTGACGAGCGACCGCGATCACGATTGTTCCGCGAAAAAACTGTCTTCGAAATCTATCGCGCACGCAGGCGACAGACAATACATATACGTGATTCGAGATCCCGTGAAAATTCAGAATACGATTCATTCGTGCGATTCACGCGCGACATATGATTCTGTTTCCGACGTGGGAATCGATTCAACAGAGTCTATTCACGCGACCGACTGATCCTGAATCTTGACGTATCCCGAAATTCTAGATTCCGAAAGACATTCTCGTACGTTTCGTCTGTACACGGTTCGCCGTGTCGCTACGCCGATACTGTAAACTATATACAGTACTATAGACAAACTGACAATCAAAAAAAAAATTTCGTTCATTCTTTCGTGTTCTCCGTTACCGTTCGAACGTAAACTCACGACTGTCTCTCTCCGTGAGAGGGGAAGGTTGAAGAGACTCGTTTGTACGTGGACAGGTATGTGTCGTTCTGTTCTTTTTTTTTTATATTTTTTTTTGTTTTCGTAACGAACGTTGTCGAATCTGTCGCTCGAGCGATTCGTCGGGTCGCGGATCCACGTTAAAAAGCACCGACAACGCCAACGATCACCAAGAAACACGAGCATTAATATTTCAAAATGGTCGTTCGTGTTGTCAACGCGGACCGTTCCCCGCGGATCGCTGATTTCGCATTCGCTCTCCAGTGATCATCGGAATCGTTCGTTCGAGTTAATCGAATATGTTTTCGAATTCCATAAAATGACAGTGCACCGATCGATGAAACGATAAGACCGTGTTCTGGGAGTATCGAACCATGGTTATCGTTCAAAGTTTCGGGAACACCGGCCGTTATGCGATTCGAGAAACTGTATCCCCTCGAACGTGTTCCTTTCACGACTGGATCGCGTAACAAAGGCACGAGTGGTCGCAGGAAGAACAATTTTAATCGGTCAACCTTCCGTCGCTGTTACACACGCTACCGAAAACGGTACAAAGTGTTCGGCCACTTCGATGGAAGTTCTTTGGCTCTCGTATCTTGCACGATACCTACGAAAGTTGCGGACAAAACGGGGGATGCGAGTTACAATTGAAATCGGTTATCCTCTTTCTCTCAAAATCGGTTTTAAGTCGTCCCCTGTGTCCTATGTTTTCCGCTGCTCAGGTTCCTACCGGGTCCGTTTCTCGGATTCGGGTCAAAGGAACCACGACGATTCAACGGCTAGAGATCATGATCGCGCGACACGGTGGTACCATTGCGTGGACCATACCGACAGGTGAGAATCATCGCGAGCAGCGTTCGTATGGCCGTACCTAGGTGTTGTTCATCCGTGTACGAGGTCTCTTCAGCTGATCAGGTCGCCGTTTTTCCGTAGCATCTCTAGGTGTAGCTCGTACTCCCTGGCCTTCAATCTGAGGGACGCGATACTGTTGGTCCGTCGATCGATGTCGGGCAATCCGACGCTGCCTGTGGGTGAACCCTGGGGGGATGTGGCCGTAGGTGGCGGGGGCGGGACCGGTGGATGAGGCAGGCTGATCGCGGGCGCCGGTGGAGGCGGCGGTGGCGGCGGCGGTGAACCACGGACCAATTTCGGCCTCTGCGCGGCCGATATGTTCGCCAGGAGGCTCTGGAAGGACGCGGCCGACGTGTAAGGCAGAGGAATCCCGGGCGGTAGCAAAGGTGGCGGTGCCCGATGATAGGGATGAGTCGTGTAACTACCAGGGAGGACCGGTCCGTGACCCAGAGGCGGGTAACGAAACGCGTCGAAGGGTTTCCGCAGCGTGAACGTGCCCAGGTGGGCGAAAGGGTTCGGCAAGGTCGGCGCGACGACCGCCGATGGCGGCGGTCCACCTGATCCCAAGTACGGATTGTACGGATGCGCCTGGGGCCCGACCTTCTCCTGTTTTCGCCACTTCGCGCGCCGATTCTGAAACCAGACCTGCAAGCAAAGATTAATTAGTTTTTTAGTTTAATTATCCGACCCGTATTTCCGTAATCGTATCGCGATCGTTGTTTGAAAACACGATGTTCACTCTGGGTCCATGGGCGTAGCCAAGGGGGCGGGGGCAAGTGTGGAAAAAAGTGGCTTTTGCCACACCTTACGAGAAAAAAATTGGATTCCTGTATAATTTGAAACACGACCAACAGCCTCTATTAACCCCTTGGCTTACGTATGCGTTTGACAGGTTCCACGGTCTCCCGCCCCCCAGTGGTGGGGATAAGATTTGAACAATAATCGTATAGAAGAAGCCGGATGTCTTGGACGATTACCGATCGCTACGCGCATTTAACTAAATGAACGATGTAAACGTATAATAATTCAAGTCCTTTGATCTAATATTATTATAGTTCTTTGCTCAAAATCTGTTCACTTTCCGCGTGTCTATGTTCGGCGTGTTGCCTATTGTTTTATCGACTCGTTCGAGGAAGAAAAAGACGAGGACGCCGACAGAGAACCAATTTCAAGTTCAGTTTCGCGAAACCTATTTATTCGATTCTCGATTAGAAAGCAAATAGTATCCCGTTCTTTCGCTGGAAGTCGTTGGGGTAGCCAATGGGAAGCGCGAATTCTGGTTAAAGTGACGCGGTTCTCCCTTTTTCAGGAAACTCGCGGTGTATCATTATTTCCGACGCTGAAGGGAAACCCAAGATCGCTGCGAGGCACCCGTCGCGTTTGCCTTGTTGTTTCCCTTCTCTGTCGTTCTTCCTCCATCTACCTTCGTCCGCCTACCTGAGAGGACTCGGGGAGAGTTCCTACTCGAAAATTAACGAAATATCGACCACCGTAAAACCGTTAGGCGGCCGTTCCGTTGGCCTACTTTTGCCTTCGGAAATCCGTGAGCATCTATGGGGGCTGGCTGGCTCGCAAACAGTCGTAATCGGTTCCGAAATCTCGTCTAGTTTGTCTCTCGAATGCAAAAAAATCCCCCGTTTGCTCTTTCGGCCTTTGGTCTTCTCGATACGACGACGAGCGAGGGGACGAAAGGGCTCACCTTACGCCACCGACGAAGAAAGCCGATCGGACAATCACGAATGAAACAAACGTCGTTCGTGATGCGTCGACCGTTCCAGCGCATTCCATCGCGAAGGTTCCTCGAAGACTCGAGCTCTAATCAGTTCAACGGAAGCTCTCTTCCCTCGCTCCCCTTGGCTCTACTATCCCGTTCTCCTTATTTCGTCCTGTGCCCCCACCCTTTTTTTTTCCTTGGTTTCTTTAACGGAGGTTTAATTCCGTAGTCCTGCTCTCTTCGGTTGTTAAGTCGATTTCGTGTCGTGCTTCGACCACGAAACAAATATCCACGCGTGTTCCCGATTTTAACGTTAGCCTTCTTGCGAAACCGAGACGAATGGCTCCACTCGAACTGAATTTTTGTGTCGCGAGTCTCGTGACAGAACGCAATGACAACGGGACTCCGACCCGTTCGATAGTCGCGGGTGACCTCCTTGTCGCAGACGTAGGTATCCTCGCAAGCAAACTTGGCTTCTTCTAGGGGAAAAAGTGGCGTAGAAGAAAAGTCTCCTACTACTTGGTAAATTTATTTCAAGTACCCAAATAAATGTTAAATCGAATGTTAATTTAGCATAAATTTCAATAATTCCCGATACCAAATTTTAGGAGGTTCTTCTACGCCACTAGGTATCGGGAATTACTGAAATTTATATCAAATTAACATTCGATGTAACCTGTATTTCAGTACTTGAAATAAATTTACCAAGTGGTAGAGGCCCTTCTCCTACGCCACGTTTTCCCACTCGTACGCGTTTGGTAAACTACGAACGGATAATGCAAAGAGTTCTGTGTGGAAGTCTGCAACGAGCAATTTCTGCACGGCTACCAGGACACCTCTTAAGGAAAGAATTTCTTCCACGGAACACGTTGTCGACTTTGTCGAGAAGTTTACTCGTTACTTTCAAGACTCCCCCTCGTTCGATCGGTACTTTTATTCCGCGTTACCGGATTCCTCGGGACAAGTCTCCTTCGTGGATGAAGGAAAATCAAACGAACCGCCGAGAGATGTTGGTCGAGTTCAATCCGATCGGTGCACGATGTAGCCTCGTCATTGCATAGACAAGGGCGCAGGATGAGAACATTTCGGGATGACTTGACGATTCGTTTGACTCGTGAGTCGATCCGTTGTCCGACGCAAACAAGGTAGAATATACATACAGTTCTCACAATTCTCTGATTAGAATATACGCATTTCGTGACTCGTGAGATCGTAGGCTAATAAACAGTAGCTAGTCGATTTTCCCTCAATTTTCCTTTCTCAGAACTTTGTAATTCCGTTCTCTGGACTCGGGAGTAATTTTCCCCTCTTTCTCTGTTTCACTCTCGATCGATCCAGAAACGAAGAACTCGGGTTACAGAATCGGTTGAACGATTCCGTAACACCGAAGTGTGCACTCTTTTTTTCCCTCCGTTTAGGGAGCGAAACGCGTGTGTTCCGCGGGCGGATCGAACGATCGGTCAGGACACACTGGCTGGAATATGCAAAGTCGTTGCTAGGCGTATTGGAGAGTTAAAGGTGATGGGGTGTGGGGGGTCGGGTGCCAGGACCCCCCAAGGCGAGCGGAATTGCCCCCAGCAGGGAGTTAAACATCCGAGTTGCGGCTTTTAAAACAAAACGCAACCACGATCGACCGCCGCCGGAACCTAGTCGTTTCGTGCTTAATCGTGCCGCATTAATTACGCGGACGCCGGTTACCCACCCTCTTCCCCTATCTCTTTCTCTCTCCGTTCCTCTTCCACCCTCTTCTCCTTCTATCCCTCCCCCTTTCATCGATTCTCCTTCTTATCCTCGACCCCCACGCGTCTCCTCAAACGAATCCTCCTCCTTAAATAATTTTATTTTACGATAGACCGGAAATTAATACCGTTCGATTGAAGTACGATTACGTCGAAGTTACTTCGGTCGATTTTTTCGCCAGTGAGAAGTTTCTTCCTATTCCTTCTTAACCCTTGTGTGGGCAGCTAAAATATTCACGATTATTGAGCAATCGGAATACCTCTATTCTGACAGAATAGACAAACATAGATAATTTTACTTTCATACTTTTTCGAAACTCTTAGTTCTCCCTGCTTATAATACACCAAGTGCTGTTTTAAATAAGAACATAAAAAACTGTGAAAGGAAATTTAGAAATGGATACACAAGGGTTAAACACGACCTCGATGTACAGACTTCTCTCGATTATCGTCCGGCTTGTTCTATATGATTATTGTCTCGGTGCGGACCCGTGTTCGGGACGATAATCGAGAGGATTCTGTATCATGCGAATGGACATCGCAGTAGCACAATCTCGGTCACAGATTTCTAAGGTGAAGTATCATTCCCCGAAATCGCTTTTGTCGAATTAGCGAGCGCCTCGTGTCCGGTGTTACAGTGTACAGATTTACACGTTTCGTGACCGAAAAGAAGTACATTCTACTGAACCACGATCGCGTGGATATCACGAAAGACGTGTATATACGTTCGCGAGGGTCGTGTTCAGGGATTCCTTGAAAATGATTAACGCGACTGCGAGCTCGGTGTACGTATCATACCGTGTCATTCGCTGGAGGCAGTAGTTCTCATGCCAGGGGAGGTTCGTGTAACTTTAAACTTTGGATAAATTCTCGATTCAAGGTAGACGGATTAGCAAGTATAATGAAAAAATGACCAGCACATGAAAGAGTTCGGCGTTGTTCGAATGAAATTTTATTCGAATAAAAATTTCGTCGTCGTTTCGACTGTTTTTATTTGATTTCATCGTTTCGTTTCACACATCGGACACGTGTCGACGGAAGTGTTTTTATCGGGCGAATGAGATCATCGGTTTTACTCACTTGTATCCGTGCTTCCGTCAGACCGATCTTCATGGCTAGCTCCTCTCTGGAACAAAACAAGACGTATGTACATATGTATTCGCAATAATTAGTTGATTAATGTAACGCGCGTCCGGGATCGCGTCGTATAATATTAAACGTGGAACTGAAACGTGGCTGCGCGGTAATTCAATACTCTTATCTTGCATTCAAATGCGGCGGTAGCGAAGAAAAAAACCGTCTCGCTAATTACCGTGGTAAGAACTGAGAAATCTGCGCGACAGGAATAATCGTACGTCGATTAGGCTAATCAGGTTTGCGACGGTGTCATACCTAGATTAGCTAGCCGAGTCGCGATCGGTTCCCGGGTGTATCGATTAATTGCATTACGTCTTCTGACATTATGCATGATTATCATATTCAATTGCCGATCGTATAAGCTGCTGTGACGGGTGCAACGGAGTGTAATCGACTAGATTTTCATGGCTGTTCTCTGTCGCGCGTGTAGATAATATCACAGATCTTTTTACGTGTGGTAAAAACCGTATCGCTCGTGTAACTATGTTACTCGAGGATATCGCGAGCGGGATTATTTATAATAAATTAAACGATACACTTAGTTACCGATGTTAAAGCGATACGCGGGCTTACGTAACGATATCGTCGTTGCGTTTCCGCTTCGGAATCTATCCGCCGATGCTGGTTCTATTTCTCTCGCGACGAGTTGTTTTTTTCTCTCACCACGGAGGTTCGGTCGATTCCTTGCACTCTGTGTGTTACGCGATCATCGAACAAAAATCGCGCGGAGAACGTAGGTAAGACAGTCTTGCTCGTGTTAAAGCTGTGTACAGACCACAGACTTCCATCGAAACGTAAAATTCGAATGAAATGAAATGCCACGTTGCTGGCATTAATAGTTACCTTTTACAGTAAAAATACAGTTGCGATAAGTACAGAATTTAATCAACGCCGGTAAAGGGGCAACGAAGCTTCTAGGAACGACCCATCCTCACTCATGATACATATACAAAAAAAAAGAAAAAAGATCGAGGCAGCTATCGGTTGAGGCAGCCTCGCGAGGAAGCCTCGCAGTGTCCATACATAGCTTAAAGTTTTCACGGGGCGTGAGATGAACACCGGAAGCATTCGATCCCCGTTCCTCGATTTCTATCGTTCTCTGGCCGCCCCGAAGTTGCTGGTTCACCCAGTGATTATGACGTCGGGTGTCCGACCACCAAAACTGGCGAATTCGTGTGTACACCGGTGTGTCTCTGGCCGGAGGGCCCCCGCGGTGTTTCGTCTCATCTCGCACGCAAATTGCCCAGATGTTCCACGAAATCGTAAGGAAATCTTGGTGATTATATCGCGCCGCGCAGACACCAGAGCTACAACGCTTCGATCGGTTCGATCTCGTGCTTAGGCGCATTTGAGCGGAAAGATGAGCCGCGACGGCGGCGATTCCGGCAGTGATCGAGTAAAATTACAGGGACTTTGAGGATGCTTGAAAATCGACTCTCAACGGTGAGTCGATTTGCGCCATATTTCGATTCATTACGGGTATCCGTATGCCTTTTATTGTTCCTACCTCCTCCTCTCCTCCTCCCTCGCGTCGTTTTTCTCTTTCTCGATCTTCCGAGTTGTTCGTTTTTTTTTGGGGAAGGGAGAGACGCGATAGGATTCCATCCAGAAGATCGTATCATGACGTGGGTATTTATTCTGCGCGTCGTAATGTTTCTTTAATAGACGGTGTTTTATAAGACGGTAGTAGGGAGGATCAAAGGATAGCGTGGACGCAAACGACTCGTAAAGATTTTATGTTCTCTTTGTGCCTTAATCGACGATCGATTTCTCACGTGAAGCCTCGGTATGTGTCTTGACGCGATCTTGACGAACGCAACGCTCTCGTGGCAAGCGGAGCAACGCGCGACCACCTTGGCCTGCGAGTAATAATAATTCAGCCTTTCCCTTTTTCTCCGGCCTACTCACGAGCGTCCTTCTGGATTTAATAAGATCACGAAATTTCGCGGTTAGTCGGATCGTCCCTAATTACACCCGCCGCCGTTCACTGCGACTCAACTCGACTCGGTTACCCTCGATTCCCGCGTATCGTTATTATTACGTATCTCTTCTCCCCTGCTCGCCCAGCCTCCCTCTCCCTCTTCGATGTGTCCTTGCCATGGGAAATGTGTGCTAGTTGCACAGTGTACACTGGCCACAAGGAGTCACGTACTTAGATTAGTCTTTACATTCGACGTAACAGGCTAGAAGCCTTGTGAAACTTCTTTTACGAATCTCCGACTCGATTTATCGTCGTGGTAATTTTGTTAACCGGCTCTCGTCTATCTCTTCGGTGCCCAACAATCTCTTATAATTGCGTCACCAGGGCACATTTGTATCCTCGAAACGTTCGGTTTCCTTTCCTCGAGAATCCGAAATCCCGTTAAATTGTCTTTCCTCGAGGTTCCGAACTCGCGTTAAATTGCGCTTGCTGATCGTGCGAACGATATCCGTTCATATGGTCACTGTACGCAACGGAGGAAGTAAAACGCGAGCGTTTCCTACGATAGAAGGGGCTTCGGTCGTTGCGACACCGGCACGCGGTCGCAATCAACTTTGGAACCAATGCGAGAACGGAACCGGCAGTTTCGTAATCGCGATAGAACACGACGGGCTAGCGGTCTCCGTCAAAGTTGCCCGCTAAGCGGATTAAACTCGCGATTCTTTGCAATCTTTTCCACCTCTCAACCGCCCACCGCTTCTGCTCGTTCATTCTCTTTCTGTCTCATCGACGAGATTGTGTCGGGATGAAAACGATTTCCTACGAAATGCGTGACACTGTGTCAGAGAACGATGATGAGAATATTATTATTAATATTATTATTATTAGTGTAAACGGGCGTTGCTCTTTAATATAATAGTTTACAATCTTGTACAAGGTAAGCGAAAACTTCGTGTAGTGATGGCAATAATTTGGCATAAATTTCAGTAATTCTCAATTCAAGAGATAGGAGCATAGTGGGAGGTCCTTCCCTTACGAGGGAGCAGAGTTTGCATGTCGGTGTACACACATTATTGCCCCAGTTTCACTAGCAAGGAATGGAACATTGAAATGATACCGGGGTTTCTGACACCCCCGAAGAATGTAACAGAAAATTACATCGCCCGTTAGGTCTATTCTTACATCTCGTCTGTGCGATAGTCATATTCTGCTCCATTTTAATCGCGGCATTTCTCTCCCGTCGATCGTCACTCTCGCCGCATTTCGCGTCTCGCTTCATTAAGTTTCCGTGATATCTGGAGCGAGTAATTAATAAACATCGCTAGAAGAAATAAATCTGTCGGAAGCCTGTGTGGTAAAATTACAATCGCTCGGTGTCAGCCTCGAAACGTTATTTTCACCATCGTTCCGATGTTTTTGCACACGTTCTTCGATCGTCATGATCGTACGTTTGCATAAATCTAATATTATTGAACAAAGAAGAACGCTATAACAGGTGGTGCGTGTACAGCGTGGACAGGGAGAGAGAAAGAGTAAGGTAGAGCCAGAGGAAGGGAAAAGAAAGGAAGAGCGAGGGAGATCGCAAGTGGCGTGTGCGGTTTCGTGTAGGCAAGAGGCTTGGCGCGCGGGTAATTCGAGTAATTGGCGGACAATTACATTATCTAATTAACCTCGGAGGTCGGGCGAGCCAGTCGCCAAGCGCTGCCGAGTCCCGTGATTGTCCCTCGTGGCGCAACCTTAAATTATTATTGTTTAACACGCTCGAAATCGTGGTCGGGGACCGTGCCCCTGCCGGTCGTTAGATTCGTAGAAATTCGAGCGACACAGAACAGAAAAGAAAAACACACACTGATTCTCTTTCTTCCTGTTCTCTACCACGCGATTCTTTACTATTTTGTCGTCGTTAATCTTCAGCCTTGTTCCTCTCGGATTATATTTTAATTCGAAACTGTGCCATCGAAATATGGTAAATTAAAATTACATTCGAAACGATTATCGTTCGACCGATCGATACACCGGTGGCAGAGCTTGGCTGGTTTTGCTCAAGCGTACACTGGGATATCAATCAAACGATCGGAGAGCGGTTTGAAATCACCGGGACACGGGTTTCCACCTTCGGTGTGCACACCGGTCGAAGGTTTTGCATCGGGTCTAGAAAGAACTGTGTGTGCCAGATATCTGTGACGGGCAAGACGATAGAAAAGCTGGTAGCTGCGAGGTAATATCCGTGCATAATGCGATGCAATCCATCTCCGCACTAACGATCGGGTTGGTCTACGAACCACCCTTGGAATTTGCCATTAATCTCGGTATAAATCATATATCCCGGGTCGGCCGCTACGAACGTTGCTGTTCGAGGTGGCAATTATCGAAGGAATGACATGGCATTGGCAACCATTTCGACGATATTACGAAGAACGCTTTCCTTCGGGGAACCACCGACGATAAGACGGGGATTGAGAGAAGGGGGCGGAAATTAATTTGTGGTAATCCTAACGACGATTTTCGAGCGAATCTCGCTCTTTAACGAGCTCGTGTGTCGGGTCGGACACGATTGCGCTAGAGCGGGACTAAAAGAGAGTCGGTAGCCGGCCGCGCGTAATGCGTGCGTAATTCGCGCTTAATACGCGTACGCCCGTGGAGAGGCAATTACCGATTGGCCACACTGTCGTCGAACGAATCTCAGCGAACCTCCTCTTCGTACTCCTTCTCCATCGCTTCTCCCTTGACCGTCTCGATCTTCTTCGACGAGTAAATGCGAGAGGGAACGGGACGGATAGGAATTCCGCAGAAAATTCGACCGCCCGATGAACGTAAACGGGGCAAATTGTGTTCGATTTAGAACTAAAGTCTCCCACTAGATATTCGCTATCGCTGCGAATATTTCGCGTTGGTTCGTGGGTGTCTTTACTCGTTAAGTCAGATTCACACTAGATCACGTCAAATCTGGCAACAGTATTTATTGTTCACACAATTCGAAACAAAAGAAGTTTTTGTTTTGTTTGTAAAAAAAGTATTATTAAAAAACATTACTTATTCATTTTGTATGTTTTCCATAAAATATTCTATAGTAAGTTTTTAATAAGTATCTCGGTATTATACGTCTATGCATGCAACGAGACCAACAAGAAAGATGAACGCAAGACGCTTCCATGAATGCAGCGGCGAAGATTAGAGACGTTTTCGTGCGGAGATTTTCGTTGGTCGTTCTAATTGGCGGTCGCGAAGACGTTAATCTCATTTGCGACGGAAAGAAACGAATAACGGATCGGGGGAAGCTGGCGGCGGCGTATCTAATCGGGAGCATGACTCGTCGGCCGATTAATGACAGGAGAAGTTACAGGTCGGAACGAGAGGATAGAGAAACGGCCGGTAAGGGCGGAGGGCGGGGGGCGTAAGAGACGAAGGGAGAAGGACAGGACAGGATCGAGGGAAGGCGGTCAGAGGCTCCATGGAACTGGTTCCGTTCCACGGATCACTGGAAACAATCATCCTTATTAAACTCACCACCGACTCACCCCACGGATATAAAGGTATTCTTCGGAATGATTTACCAAGAATCGTGTTCTGCTCTTTTGAAACAGGTGGATATCCCCTGTTCGATGTACCCTTCGAACGAACGATAAATTCTGCGCGTAAAACCAACCCAGGGACCGACACCCCGTTTTGTTTACCAACTTCGCCGTGATGAAACACAGCGAGAGGGCTCGAGAAGAGAGAGTGTGAGAGTAAAAGAGAGGAATGGAGGCGAGAAAACGAAGAATACGAAACGGTTGGCGAGCCGTTCTAGCTGGCAGGGACTTCGGTCGGATGATTAGTCGAGCCACGGTAGCCCGAGCCACACGAATCTAATCTAAATTAGATCTTAAGAGCTCGTAAAAGTAAGTGGCTGCGTTTGAAAGCTTGCAACATCTTCCCCTCCCCTCAGCGCGTATCTAGACATTTTATCGAGAGGATTTCATTGGTCCCGCGGTGCGTCGATCGGGAAAATTCGACGGTCGATCGACGATCGAATCTTCGTTCACGTTCACATCCGCGATGCCTGGGCGTTTCCACGAAAGTTCGCAGGGACGGGGGGAGTATGGTCGTTAGAAAATACGAATGAAATGCACATTCGATGGAAGGAATTCGCGAGAGCCTTACTCCGTAAAAGCGGCTAATGAATATGCATCGGGTTCGAGCGAAGCTTACCGCCTCCCGGTCAGCTAGTCAATAAACCTAAGCGACCATAAAATCCAATTAGTGTGAAATTAATACTGCAACACGGTGCCGAGGGGGGCGGAGGGGGCAGAGAGAGAGGAAGGGGCGGGAGAGCAAGAAACAGGCGAGCGGGGGAAGGGATTAATTTATATCAAAACGGCAAAAAGGTATCGCGAGCGAGCGAGCTGCACCGGCCGTGGAAAGGAAATGATCCACAATAAGGAAACGGTAGATTACAGCGAGATTGCTCGGAAAAATCGATCGATTTCTTTATCGAACCGCGATCTATTCGAGGGGCCCTGCTCGGAAATTGCAAAATTAACGTTTGTTCGCTGGATTACTCTGGCAAAGAAAGTCAGAGTGAACAGCCGTGGGGACGTAGAAGCCCAACGACCGACTTCGCGTCGATGAGATGCCACGGACATTAGGCTTTATCTCGAAACGCGAGCCTGGACTTTGAGTTTCTCGATAACCCGAACCCACACCCAGGGCCCCGTCGCCTGGCACGACCATAACAAGATAGCCCTTAAAAATTTTTTACTCCGACTGTCCTCGTTCGTCTATGTCTCGTGAACATAGTCGTCCACTACGTACAGAAGATTTCCATCATGTTTCGAACGTTTCGAGTGAATTTTTAGCGAGATCGAATCACGCGACCTGAATCGGACGCTGTCAATGGTGTACGCGACGGTACATACACATACTCGGTTTTACTCCTCTGCATATCCTTCCCCCTCTCCCCTCTACGTTCGTTAATTACGAGAACCCATACCGTGGCCGCAGGACCGGACCTATTACGAGCGATTACACCGCTATTAGTTACCTACCTACCTACCTACCTACCTACCTACCGGGTGTTCCGTGCCACGAAAGAAGCAACGGGGGGAAAAAGGAGATGAAAGAAAAAGCTACCCAGATAGATTGCGCTACACCCCGTCGCCGGCACGTTACCGTGGCGCGCAACTGGATCCAAAGAACCTTGGGGGAACTTAATAACGTGAAAGCATCGTTTCGACGCGCCGCGGAATTCGCCACAACGACGGGTCCGCGACGGCGTGTCCAGTAGAAAAATCCGATGATCGATGGGAGGGTACGTACCGTTTCGCCGATCGATAGATCTTCCATCTTTTCCTGGATTCCACCGACAGTCCCGTAGATCATTCGTCTTTATTACACGACGTTTGTCTATAATTCTAGCCGTATCGGGTCTCACAGTGCGTCTCGCGATAGATGCGACACAACAACGCTCTTGATTCGTGGTTATTATTTAAACAAAAAAAAAAACGCCCCAGTCCTGAAGGGAACTTCGAACCAGTGAACAAGTTTGCGAGAGTATTACGAAACGCCACGCGGTTGCCCCCACGGCGATGTCGTATGGGAACAGTTATTTTGTTAACAATAGGCTGTCGAATCTTTTGTTAGCTCGACGGGTGTAGTGAAAACAACCGGGGTCGGTTTTACGACCGCTGGCCCAAGGACTGCCCACCTATACCTGTACATGTATATCCGATCGTAAACCGTTTTGGATCATGGAATTCGTCGAAAGTTGAATTTCCGAGAGAAAGGATTGCCGGTGGTGTGTCGTTGTTACGTGGTTCTCGTTCGAAAACGGTTCCCGTGGATGCAGAAGCCCGCGCACGGGAGCCACCTAGGTCACGAAATGTATTTCGGCTCGGCAGGAGCTAATAGCCGGCTCTGCGAGTTCCTCCTGTATCTTGATCCCGTTACACGGGAAGCCTGGAACCTGACAAACGCGACTGGACACCTCCTCTAGCGGTTAGAAACCGCGGGAGGTACACGAACCTGCGCCTATCAGTCGCGCCAATGATGCACACTGTAAATTCTTAGTCAGGGATTTCTACCGAAACGTGAAATACCGGTATTTTCGGTTGAACCTTCGCCCTATATAACCCCTAACCTTATAGAAACCGAAAAAATACCGATATTAATTTAGGTTTTCGGTAATATATCGGTTTTGGTATAGCTTTGGTGGCATAATACCGGTATCAAAATCATACCGGTTTAAGTGCCTGTTCCTACCTTAGGATGACCGTTCCAGGAAACAGTGACCTTCGTTTTAGTATTCCACGCGCCTAAACTATGTAGATTTTTACACATTACAACTGTTGCACCTCGTCGTTGAGTGTTATAATGTATTCCGCTCGATTAGCCCTGTTAAATAACATCTGGTTCGATTGAAAATTACGAGCAGAATCAGCGATAGAGTCTACGACTAACAGGGCATCGCGCGATCACAAGAGTCGATGAGAATCAGTTGATTCGCATACGAACGGGTCGCGAGAGGAAATACCCTAGCGACGTCGTTTACGTACCTGGTGAACACGTCGGGATAATGAGTTCTCGAGAAAGCTTTCTCGAGTTCCTCTAGTTGGAAGCTGGTAAAGGTAGTCCTATATCTGCGTTGCTTCCTTTTCGGAGCAAAGTCGTCGACCTCCGCTTCGCTTTCAGGGCTGGTCGGCGCGGCTCTGGGGTGGTTGCTCTCCTCCTCGGGCCTCACCTCTTCCGTAGAGATTCCCATTTGCGCGGACTGAGGTGTTGTTGTCGTTGTAGGCGGCGGTACCGATTGTTGCCGAGGCGGCTGGCTCGGCTGATTCACCTGGCTCGAGCTGCTCGTGCTGCTCGCAGGACTCGTCTGCGGGACAGCTGGCTCGACGCCTCCTCCTCGCGCCGAATGATCTGCGAACACGAAGACGTCTTCATTTTAAAGGCTACCACACGACGATGAGAGCCGTTGCATTTCAGCTTATTTGCGTCGAACGACAGTCTACCTTGTATCGTTTCTGATCTTGATCGTTTGTTTTTGCAATTTTTCTAAAAGTATGAGAAACATATTCGAACTACAGCATACATATAGGATACATATGGATGTATGTGATAGCACAGACGAGAATCTCGTCTGTGGTGATAGAGACCTAATTTAACTCTAGGGTTTTCAGGCACTCAAAATCAATGATCTCTCGATTACAATGGCATCTGTAGTCTTATCATTATTTCTGTAGTCACTGGTAATACTTTTGACGAATGGGTCGCCTGTGCGCAGAATATTCTACTGTTCATAAAACGTGTATACACGTCCATAAGTCATAGCACCGAAAGGCTTAAGCTTACCTTATTTCCACAAACTTTAATTAAATCTTTATATTATTCCTCTTTTCGTTTGCGGTGAATGGTGTTACTGTTATTATTATCATCCGTCTCGATCGGGTTTCCAGGTTGGAAATGCCAGAGAAATTAATTAACGACAGAGTCACGAATGCGGTCGAGCGTAATTGAAAGCGTGCTGTCCGCACAGTCGAACAATTTTAAACTGATTCTCGCGGACGATTGTTAACTACCGAACGCCGACCACCGAGCGGTTATCAACGATTCTATTAAATTCCCCGAATGGATGGGGAAATCCTCGCGGTTTAGTTTCCGTCGTGAACACGCTCGAGTGTCCTGCTTTGTCGAACCAACACCAACCGATTCGTGGTTAATAAAAACGGTTTCGAAAGTAGCTTCGAATATACGTATAACAACGCTTTTGATCCCAGGTCGTAACCATCTCTAGAGATCATCCCGCGTATTTTCGAATCGACTACGAGTGTATATATGTATGTGTGTATGTATATAGACACCGTGGAACACACGATGACGCGTAGACGAAGACGCAGAGACACGGAGAGACGGAGGACAGAGCTATCATTCCTTTCACCGACCTTGCCGCATTAATGATCCCCACAAGCCCACACTTCGGCACGTTCGATGCTGTGAGTGATCATGTAACAGCGTTCGATTCGCTTGTAACGACTAGAATCATTTTCACGCGCGATCGATACCCCGACATACCAGCCGAGAGGGAATCCCTACCTCGTGCTTACAAGCTGCTACTGATAATTCGCGTCCGCAATTTGCAAACGTGTTTTAGCCATCGAACCGGTTTCAAAGTCCCCCTAATGAAATTCCCCCGAGACCGTGTTTGTCTCTTAATTCGTCATTATCGAAATTCGATCCTCGGTGGTGCGGAGTGACACGATCAGCCCGAGGTTCAATAACGTGTGAAGGGGGTAAGGAAAAGGGTTCGCCGCCAGGGGATCGGTGTTCGATGGTCGGTACGAGTACTCGATATCGCGTTTGGAAATCCGTTTAAGCGGATATACACACCTATTTGTATACACATATATATGGCGGTTTTTAGTCGAACCGATTTATCGGAAATGAGTTTATAATGCAGGTAGCCTGAACGGTAATGCGAACGATAAGCGAGATCTAAGCCCGGCAAACCTTACCTCGCATTTTTCTTGGCTTTTGCCATTAAACATCGAATACGCGCCGGCAACGTACACGCGGGTTTCGTGTTACGGCCGGCCGAAGATAGAGATGGCGAACGAACGATCGAGCGAGAGAATGAGAGACCGAGGAACGCGTAGGTAGCCTTTTACATTATAATAGCATTAATGGGTTCGAAGCCGCACTTAATGCTCGTTCGTTCGTTGGTCGGCTTGGTTCGTTATTAACTGAAAATTACCGAAACCGAAATCTAATTCGCGTAAACACTGTAATTTCATGGCGGGAGGAAGCGACTGTTCGTGGGCCCCGACGTGTAGATCCAACCGGTCGTCGTCGGGGTAAAACGCTGCGCCTCGAACTTCAGCCCTCGAGCATCTTTCCAGAGGGCCGATCGAAACGTTCCCATTTTCATCCGCACGCGTTTTCTTTTACCGAATCGATTACCGATTTTCGAAAATCGAAATCAATCCTTGATCGAGGCTACAGCGCGGTAGAAACCGCTGAGTCGCGTTAATTGACTCGTCGTTAATACATCGTTGGTATTACTACAGAATTCACGATGTTAATTTATTTCTTCCCCCCTCTACCCTCCTTCCTGCCCCGAGTCGTTCCAGGGTCTTAACAGTGTAGGTATCGCGAATGCCCGATTAGATGCGTCACGGTCGATTAGACGGTATGGATGGAGTGATTTCCGAGAGAGCGGCTCTAAGCAAAATCTGCTAGTCATTTCTGTCATATTTGCACGCTACTATGTGCCTGTATGTATAATACGTGTTTTTCTCGCGCGAATAACCGTCGACGCACACGTGTATGCATGTATATCGAGCTCGGTGCATTACGCGTTCCATGTACATACGATCGCGATTTATGGGCATACAAATTAGCACGGCGTAATAAACTAATTAGCCGACTCATTGAGGCCGCTTGCGTTTCTTGCGGACGTGTTCTAATGGCGAACACACCGTTCGTATGGTATACACGCGAGTACAGAGTACGCTATACCGCTGGAACGACGATCTCGCGTGGCCGAGGTCTCGAGAATTTTCCATGACTTTCTTCGTGTGCCGAGTTTGCTGGGAAACGCTTGTGCTCGCTCGTTCGTACGATCGAATCGTTGCTGCGCGGCTTTATATTTCACGCGATTCGTCTCGATTGCGATATCAAAAAGAATTCAAAGTAACAGTCGCGGTGCCGTATGGGGGATTCGTGCGAACGGTGAAAAGTATTCGAATGGATCGTTATTCCCGAGGATGCGTAGGTATAAATGTATACAGTGTGTCCGAAAATAACTTTGACTCAATCAGAGTGCGAGTCTGCCGGCCGAGCTATGATTGTTCGGGATTTTTCGTTAATATCTCGTTAACAAAGCCTCGGATAATAATTTCGCTAAGGAAAAAGTTGTTTCAAATCACCTAAGGAACTTCTCATTTCTGGGAGTCGAAGTTATTTTCGGACACCCTGTGTACCTACCTGTATACGACCCACGGGAATCGAGACGTCGCGCGTCGTTGTACCGCGACGAGGCGTTACACACCGTGGCCAGGCCACCGCTTTTTACATCGAATCATACTTGCAAATTCCCCGCTAATAGACGCATCAATGCATCCTGTGACAAGAACCGGCGACGCTCGGACGTGTTCGATTTCTCGGCGCGATAATAACAAGCAATTACGAATTATCGGCAATCCCTTTTCTCAGCCGTTGGCTGCTCACGCGCGATAGCGTTCACGATAATACCGCGCGTATATTTACCTTCCGGATGCAGGCTACGCCCGCGCATGCGTTTAACTTCTCAGGCTGAATTAATTAGGCCCGTATAATCCCCCTGGTCCCGGTTTCCCGATAGGTAATTGCAACAATGAACAAACCCGTAGATAGAGGGAGGGAGAGACAGAAAGAGAGAGATCGAAAGATGTGAAAGCGAGATGATGGGTCGAGGCGAGCTGAGCCGTATCGAGACGAGGCGAGGCGATGTAAGGAAAAGGGGGTCTCTCTCTCTCTCTCTCTCTCTCTCTCTCTCTCTCTCTCTCTCTCTCTCTCTCTCTCTTTCTCGTAGAACCGCTTCTGTAAGTACATATTACCACTATATTAGCCACGTAACGTACTGTGGGAATTATCTTTTAAGCCGATCGTAAGAAGTAATTAAGTTGCCGGCAACGAATCTTTCTTGTTTCGATACGCCTCGAATCGACGTCTAAATGCACGAGGCGAGTTTTCCAAGAAAAGCTCATTGCGTCTCGGGCAGCGATAACGGGCCGATTCGGAATCGAAATACCGAAACGGCCGTTGCTTGGCGCCAATCGGTAATCCTTAATTACAAACTTACTGTCAACGCGCAATAGCGTTCAATTAACGCGCTAATGGATCGGAATTCTCGTGGACTCACGTATACATACACATATGTGAAGTGCGCGGCCCCCATCGACACGATAAAATTCGTTTGCGCAACGGATCTCACCGCGTTTCGATTCCTAACAAACAGATCGGAGGTGCACACCGACGATTCTTCAAAGGTACGATGATTTCCCGGTGGTGTAACGGCGCCCGAAGAGGGCCGATCCGTAACGACTCGACTTCGACGGGACAAATCGATTTTGTTACTGTTTGCGGAAATCACGTTGTCTCGCTCTCAAAGCTTGCCTCGTACCGCCTTGAACGGTAATCTTGTTTGCGATTGCACGTCGGCGGTGCTCCCTCTTCCGCGATGAAGGAAAAAGATACTAATAATAATTATACCCGAGCGATAAAACGGAAATCGGCGAAGATAATTAGTTTTTTCATAATGGTGCCTCCACGGACGGGTGTGTTGCCGCGATCGATCGGATCGGTATTCCGTTGATGCAGCCAATGTATTCTTAACGTGTGTTCGCCCAATAAAACCACGGCTCGGTTTACGAATCAAACAAACGATTCAATTTGCGGGCACACGCGATTCGTTCGAGCCGAACCTTTCCATCATCAACGGGATCACGTATTATACCGGGGCGTTCGCGACCGTCCACGTTATTCGCTCGAAACCGTCGAGAACTTAGACGTTTGATAATTACCTCGGGGAAAGTAGTGCGAGTTTTGTCGTTTTTCCTACGATTCTACCGACTCAAAGAACCTGTTCGTCACTCGCTGGAGGGGCGGAAAAATTATCCTGCCGTTGCGCATACACGATCGATGCCATTCCAATTATTATTAGGACCGCGCGTTCATTAATATACACATGTATACCCATACCGATCGCGGTCTGGCACAAAAAAAAAATGTTGTACTACCCAGACCCAATGAAAATCTCCGTTTTGACGCGACTGTAATTTTGCAAATTGTTTCATTATCCGTAGGACGGGTTCTCGATCGACGATTCGCGTACGTAAAATCAATTAACGATCAAGCGATAGCGTCGAAGTGATTTGTCGACG